TGGCAGGGGTTGGAGCTGTTGGAGCTTCAAGGTCCCTTCAACACAAACCATTCCATGCAAACACCTACTTCAGAAAAAAAACCATTCACCTCCCAGCAGAGCTCCAGACAAAGTTCAAGCATCACTCTTCACCCCAAAAAACTTGCTGTAATGTTCAGTGGGGATGGACTTTATGCTGGATGTAATTGGCCACAGGGTTTGACAGCGGATTGTGCTGCTAAGAGGCTTACTTGAAATAACACCACCAGCCAGAAGAGCTCAACGGTGCCTGGTCCTGCTGCGAGCCCGTGGGTGCAGGATGAAGCTAGTCGTGGGGGTGTGATAACAGTGCCAGCAGTGCTGATAGTCATCCCCAGCTGTCCTAAATATAATTAATACAATTTCCCCTCAAGAATGACATGGTGACTGTGCAACAGCTGCTCCCTGATTAGATTTAAAGCTAATGACAAGGGCAAATCCTGTTTTCTGATCTTTATGCTCAAAGTAGCTCTGCTTAATATTATAAAAATCCCCCAAACATGGCTAACTAAGTGCTGAAAACACATTAGGAAGAGGAGAAATGCCACAGGAAGCTTAGGCATGGCCAGCAGCACCCACAGTGTGCAAGATACTGTCATGGCATTTTCCTGAAGAGCACGTTTATACCATCTTCTACGTGCCTTTGGAATCAGGTGTTATTTCCAGTCCATGTTGCAGGGGACACAGGGAACAATCCTGTGTGTTACAGTCACATAAGCTGTTATGAGCAGAGTCATGCTACTCTGATTTACCGAAGGAATCACAGCGATTCCATTCAGTGTTCAATACTTCTGAAACACCCTTCCATTCCCTGAAGATTTTGTATAACATAATCTCATCTCTATCACTCTTTATATTACTACAAAATACTTGGACTTCACTATTATTTTTTGTAGCCCCTTCAGGCACTGGAGCTGCTCTCAGGTCTCCCCTTCAGGAGCCTTCTCTTCTCCAGGCTGCCCCAGCCCAGCTCTCTCAGCCTGGCTCCAGAGCAGAGCTGCTCCAGCCCTCGCAGCAGCTCCATGGCCTCCTCTGTACTCACTCCAGCAGCTCCACATCCCTCGTTATCATTTTAGTGTCTTGGTGGTGAAAACAGGAGTAGCTGAACACTACAAAACAGTCTTATCATCAATTCAGACATGAATAAAATGGATAATGGGCCTAGAACCTGTAATAAAACCCCTCATGTTTAAGGATAAGTGAAAATACATGTGCCTTGAAACTGAAAAGTCTGAATCATTTCCTTATTTTCTGTCATCTGTGGGCAATTCTTCTTTCCAATTTAATGGCAACAGTGGTTTCTCTGAACAGCCATTTCCAATGTGCAAAACATTGATTAAATCTGAAGCATGCAGAGTTTGTTTGGACTTGGAGGAAAAAAAAAACCAAACTGACAGTTAGTGTTCTGAAATGGAAGCTGGCAGATCCAGAAGGAACTTCAGAGCTCTATTCTGTTGCTTTATAGCTACATTATCATAGAAAAATACCTCTGGAGCTTCTGCTCTTTCTAGTCCTGACACTGAGGCTTGATTTTTCACACATTTCTAAGTATTTTGCATTGTGAACAAGCACCTCTGACCTCAGGGAGCCTGTCTGGTCTGAGCCGACCTGTGACTGTCATACCCCAGACGCACCACTGCCTTCCACCAGAATTAAACACTTACCTTTTGGGGGAGAACATGCAGAGTGCTGTCAGCTCCTGAGGTGGTCACTGCACTAAACTGCCCTCTGTGTTCTCAGAAACATGATTTTCAGAGGCTGAAATGAGGAAAAAATTGATTCTGAATCCAGCACAGTAAGTACACATATAGTACTTGCATTCTGAAAGTGTTTCCTGCATAGCTGATTTACTAATTCCTTTTACTAGTTATTAAAACCCTAATCCTTCCCCTTTCCCCCCATACACCGGCATTCTGCTACTTAAAAGGGGAAAAAAATGACATGTTTTGCCAAGTGAGTCAAAAATAAGTTTGTTCCTCAAGTTTGCAATGTGTTTTGGTGGCAGAGTGTGTAAAAGCACATTTGGTTCCCCAGTCATATGATGAGGGGCTCGCTTTCCTAACAAGGAACCCGTCTGTGCTACTTGCATCCACAGCTTTTCCATCTCTTATTAAGTAGGAGGAATATGAATTGAGAGCAGCCCAAATATGGCTGCAACCTGTTGGTTTTGGCATGAAATCCTGAGAACTGATGAATCCAAGTGCTGTAGTTGTGAAAGAGAAAATACAATCTTCCCATTCATGAGAAATGGGGACTGTTGGCGGTGGCGTAAGTCACGTTGTGAAGTGTTCACACATTCCCTCCTTGGATGATTTGCTGCCTTTGGTCAGCTACCACCAGCACTGTCACTGGTATTCAGGGAACTTGTCACTCAGCCTTAACCATGGTTTATGCTCTCTTGGCCCCCAAGCAACTACTTTTCTTATATAGACATTTTGCTTAGTGACCCATCTGTCCCTTCCAACCTGACTCACTTTTTGAGAGACAAACTTCCATATATCTTACAGTTTGTAAAAGAAAACCCAGTCCAACAGGAGCTTCATGTTACCTGCATCCCACTTATCCTGGTCTGTGACCCCCATACCTCCAAGAGCCCCATTGCAGAAACAAAGAATAGCTTGCTTTTTGGTGGTGTCAGTCATGAGGATCCTCAGACTTCCTCTCATCCCTGGGTTTCTAAATTGGTCACTCATCCAAAGCAGGCACTGGAAGGTGCCAAAGAGAGTCAAAAAGCTGCTGCCATTCTGCTCACCAGCTTTCAGGCAAGATGGCAGGAAATTCCTTTCTCCGGGAAGAAGCATCTGTGATTCCTGGCTGAAAATCTTCAGACTAACAAGGGCATTTTCACTGCAAGGAACTGCTCCATGGGGGCTTGCAGCCTGCTGTGAAAGCCTTTAATTCCCTGTCCCTGGGAAACTGGGTGGCTCTACAGATTTTGGGTAGTAGCAGTTCCTTGCATGGTATAAACAGGGATGAGCAGTAATTATAATTACACCTACTGTGCCCCTAGGAAGTCAACTGCAGTTGTGTGAGCAAGATGGTAGTAAGATTAGTCACTCTAACCCATCTTCTGAAACACAGGAGTGTGATTTAAATCAGTAGTTTTAAGCCAAAGAAATAGAAACACTGATTTTAAAAACAACGTATCTGTGCTGGTTTGTACCTAGATATATCTCACCTAGAGACATATGACCTCCTTTACTTTATTGAGGAAAAATATGTTGCACCTCAATAGTAGTCAATAAGACTACAACTCATAATCACACTTATTGCACAAAGTTCTGTTTGACAGAGACTACATCTATTTGGAGCATGGGGCAAGAGTGATTGCAGGATCAATCAGTGCAGTGAGGTGCTGAAGAACTTAAGTTTTCTGTATCCCATGGGACAAAAATAGGTTCTTCTGAAGCGTGATTCAGAGGAACTAATTTTAGGTCCCTAAAGTAAGGCTGCCTAAATACTCTATTGCATGTTTCAGATTGGATGGGGAGGTGGTTCAGCATCACCTAAAGCACATATACTGAATCATAGAACCAATGAGGTTGGAAAAAGCCTTTAAGATCATCAAGTCCAACCATTCCCCAGCACTGCCAAAGCCACCACTAACCCATGGCACTGAGGGCCTTGCCTACATGGTGTATGAACAGTTCCAGGGATGGTGACCCCACCACTGCCCTGGGCAGCCTGTTCCAATGCTCCCCCAGGTCCCTTAGCTGTTCCCCATCACACCTGTGCTCCAGGCCCTGCACCAGCTCCGTTGCCCTTCTCTGGCCCTGTCCAGTACCTCAGTGTCTCTCTTGTAGTGAGTGGCCCAGATGCTGTTCTGTTTCTGTAATGCCTGTTTAGATACACATGTTCCAACAGAAGTGGAATGTTTCTCAGTTTAGCCAACATTAAATATAAACAAAAGGCACTTGTGAAGGGATTAAAATATTACCACACCTGTATGATCTGTACAACTTTACTACCTACAAGGCTGACTGAATATGGGTAACACTGCTATCCTTTACCTTCTCAGCGGTTCTGTTTATGACAGTTAAATCCATCCTCAGTTATATCAGTTCACAAGATATTGTTTGGCCTTCACTCTTTCCCAGCTAAAGTTGGTGGGTTCCTGTTCTTACAAGACTGGACAGTAACTGTAAGAGCAGGAGAAAAATTCAGCTTGGTGAAATAAATTAATTTATAGCAAAATTTGTTTCCCCCTCCATTCCCTGGCTTTCTTCTTTAGGTGTCGTATTGACTAAGATATGGAAAGCAAAATCGTCTTAAATCCACACAAGAGAATCTGGCTTTGACAGTCTGTTTCCTCTACATATCTGAAACTCCTGAATATATCTCTGGAAACTGTTATGCCTGCAGGGAAAAAATATGATAGACTTAAGCCTCATTATAGGAGTTTCCTGCTGATTTCTCTCCAAATTACTTGCAGCTATCTGGAATAAATAGCAATTCTTTGGATATGAAATAAATGCACCCAACCTGGGGGAAAGAGACTTTTTTTCTCTCGAGGCACTGAGGTGGCTTTTTCTGTCGCATAGCCCTGCCAAACAGAAATCAGCTGCAGAGGAGCATGTGATGACAGTGAACTCACAAAGGTCAACATGAGTGATCCAGCTCTTCTAGGAAATCAGAGCAACACTGTCCCATGGCAACACTGCTCACCATGGACACTGCTGTTTCACGCAGCTACTCTGTGGTTGCCAAAGCTGAGTTGTAGCAAACCTCACTTTAAGGGCTTCATCTGCAGTTGTCAGTTCTCTCATTTTAGTCTCTTTCCAGTTCTTACATGAGCTAAAAGGCAATCCTATGTAACTTCTCTGGGCAGGATTTATCTTTCAAAATAGGAACAGACTGTGAAATACCAACTTGTTTGATAGTATCCCACTTGTTGTTGACTTCAGTGGGGTATCACACACAGCAGAGTGCTGCTTTGCTTTAGAAAACTGTATTTTCTTTTAGAAGAGCCTGCAAAACCCCTTTGGATCTCACTGATGGATGGAAGCTGTGAACTACTCATCCTAAAATATCTGCAGTCTCTCCACTTTTGAATTAGGCATTAGCTGAACATATAAGGTCTTCCATGTTGTTCCAGTTAGGAGAAGAAAATGGCAGTGTCTATCTAAAAAGATAAAGAAAAAAGTATAAGATCTGTTTTCCCAACACAGGATAAATCAAATAACAGCCAAAAACCCTTGTTCAGGTTTTCCATCTTGTTTCAAGCAGCATTCAGCACAAATAATTGTGTTTATCACAGCCTTTGCTCAAGTGGTTGTTTAGGCTTTAACTCTTTAGGAGGATTTTGTGTTCACTGTTTCAATGTGTGGATCAGAGACATTAAGTATTTATGAATTCTGGAGGAGAGGCAAACTCACTTCAACATTCCCTGAAGCCACCAATCCTTTCTCTCCTGCTAAAGAATGATTCATACTTTGCTTCTGGCCCCAGGCTTTTATGCATTGAATCTGCACAGTAGACTTTTTGGCACACCTCTAAAGCAGCAGCTTCTCTCAGGGGGTGTTACGGAGACAAGCAGCAGATGAACAAACCTGGGAGAGGCTCACATGAAACACGAATGATAAATAGCATTCATTTGGGCTAATGTGACAAGTTGGTTGTGCCCATGTCCTAGTAACACAGGGATAATTGTGTCTGTGTCAGGGACTAAAACTGGAATTTAAGGAACTGTAAATTGGTGGGTTTATTCTAGTCAGGTGTCCCATTAAGTACAGTTCAAGGTGAAACAATGACTGTAACTTAAGGCTTCATAACAACCTCTTGCAATTGTAACTGTCAAAAAGGCCATTTAGGATAGAAGGAATGCTCTAATTAAGGAACACAATAGGACTGGAAATCCAGAAAAACCCCAAGGAGAGGGCAAAGTCACTTTTGCCACATTTGTATATTGTAACTTAAAGGCTAAGCCCAGTGGAAACTGAGCCCTATTTAGAATAAAGCCAGAAGCTGCCCTTCTGTTGGGCAAAGTACCAAGAACTGGGTGGGTGAAAGAACTAAGGAGGCTTAAAAAAATCAAGCGAGAAAGAGAATCTGTCTTGAACAAAAAAACAGAAAAGAGAGTTTGTAATCTCAAAAGAGAGCTCTGCAGGACAATGCAGTAGTGTTAACTGTTACATCTTCACAGCGATACCACTATTTGCAGCCCCCATGTGTTTTCTTTTTCAGCAGTACTGCAGTGGATGAATGCAGAATCTGATTCATGCTTTCCTGGCTTTGCCAAATGCATCCTCAAATCCCATAACTGTCCTATGAATTAATCTGCTCACCCAAAGGTCTGATGAGACATGGTTGGAAAAACACTTGTCCTTGGAGATTCCAGCCTCCTTGTCTGAGTGAGGGATTGGTCATCAGCATCCGGAATGGTATCAGCAGGAGGCCTGGCAGCCACTGAAATCAACAGAAACTGGGTCAGAGCCACTCTGGTAATCCCCAGCAAACAAATACCTCTGAACAACAGGGCATTTTGAAATGGGAAGTTGGGAGGAAAGAGAATTTGGGGTGGTGTCAGGCATACCAGAGATGTTACCAAGCAGACAGAGCGCGTAACAGCTTGATGTGCTTTCACTGCTGAACACACCTCTGCAGCACATCAGCTGCTGCACTCAGACTGTAGATATTCCCCTCTTTTTCCATTCCATTCCCAGCCTCTGTGCCTTTTTCTATTTCCAGCCCATGCAAACATCTCTTTTTTTTTCTAGGAAAGCTTTCAGTTTCTCTAAGGCTGACCTCAGTCTTTACTGCAGAAACATGAAAGAACAGTTTCCTGTGACAAGACTAAAACGAAGAACTAAAGACTAAGAACTGGGCATTCATACAATTTTACTTCCCCTCTGCACACTTCCCATTTTGTGCAGCTCACAGACAGACGTCCTGAGTCACAGGCTATTTTGTCACATTTAATAGTGCTAAATCGGGTTTTCATCCCCTCCTTCATCTGCTTTTTAAGCTCATTATGCTTTGGCATTGATGTTCTGCAGCTGCATTTTCTCATTCATGCACAGTGAGAAAAGTTGTTCCCTTTGTTTGCCAGAAAGATATTACCTGGTATTTTGTGTGATGCCCGTGAGTTCTCATATATGAGAAATAATGAGGCTATTGACCATTTATGATTACACAGACCTGTGTGGTATCCTCTGCTGGACAGGATAATAGTCTTCTGTCTCAAGAAGACAGAGGATAGTGTTATTCTGCTTAGCCTTCCAACATATGAAGCTGTTTCAGGCTTCAGATCATCCTTACTGATGTTGTCTGTTGCCTTTTCTGCTGATTTTGGGCTGAGGAATGGCTAGAGCAGGGTATTTGGTACAGCCAGGGTTTGCACAGTGACCTGTGGGTTATTTTCTGTTTTGCTTTCAGTTAACATTCTTCTCCTAAGGGTTTTCCTTGACAGCTGCTGAGCCTTACATTGATCTTATAAAACTCTGCACATTAACTCCAGAACTGGTTTCTTGAATAATAAATGGCTCATTTAGAAACCAAGCTGTGTTTGCATAGTTTGTAGTGCCTTTGCTCAGCACATGACTTTGTTTAATAACACTGAATTTAGTCTGACTTTTCCATGCCCAGTCATTTAGTTACTGAAATACTTCTATAGTTCTTCACAGTGGCACTGCTCAGAGTAATTCCATACAGGATTCTGTCAAAACCTTTTTAAAACTCCAGAAACACTGCTATCCACCAGATCACCCTTTTCCATATAACCAGTGATTCCTCAAAAGCATTCAAGTTGATTTGAATTATTGCTACAAAAACCACGCTGATTCCTCCCATTTGATCAGAACTACTGATGTTTTTATGGTATAAGAATGGATGGAAGTTTGGGTCTGACAGCAGCAACCTTAGGACAAAAGAGAGGGTATGCAGGACTCCACTGTAGGCGTCTGTTTCGTACCTATGGCAGGCATTAGTGTTGCCTGCTGCATCTAGATAACGTGGTATGTATTTCTAGAGCTTCATTCCACCTTTCAGAGGCAAGAGAGCATCTTCCTTCATCCAGATGCTGATTTTCACCAAATTCATTACATGTTAATGTCTTTTAAACATGCTTTCCTCATTTGACTGGAGTCAGCCAGCAGATTCAAACCTGGAGAAAGATATGGGACGTAACAGGCAGATGGACACCATGAATGCAGCAACATCACCTCTTCAGGCAAAGATTGTGATACTGGTCAGCATACTCTTACCAGAACAAGATCCTGTTACTGGGGGACAATGAAACGAGAACAGAAGGACCATATGAAACCATCCGAGAGATTTTGTGTTACAATATAGATGCAATCTATGGACTTAGTGCTCTTCAGGATTTCTCTCTTTTTATCTTAGCAAGATGAGCATGTCAGCTTGTTCTCATTGCTATTACTAATTTACCATTTAATTTTCTAGCAGAAATAATAATTCAATATACCAGTTTAAGGAGGCGGCATTATGGGAACTTAAAGCAAATGTTTGGAACAGACTATTTATGTTCCCAGAGAAATGTCTGAATTAAAATGACAATATGCCAATATTTATTGCTAAATCTAAGAAGCTATTCCAACCCCCCACTCCAACAGCACCTGCCTGGACATCACTTGTTCTCAGATACCCCTGTAATAATAGCATATCTATTTTATCTATTTCAGCCCAAATTAAGCTTTTGAAGCTATCCAGTCCCAAGAACTGAAGTGGTAATCAATTCAGCAAGAGTGGACTGAAATACCTGATGACACAGGCTCCACTAACACATGGCAAGATGCTGAAACACTAATTAGGGTTTCTCTTTGTTGCTTTTGAGAAGAAATGGTGGGTTAATGCAGCTAATGAGAATGAATCAAGTTGTTTCATAGAACTGCAAAACGTAACAGCTGTCAACCCACCTCCATTCTGAACCATTCCTTTCCCAGCCCACACTCCTTTGTGCTTTCTTAGGTCTTTTATATAGCCCTAAATCCTCCACGAAATCTGACATCATTGTTCTAGTGGCTGTGGGAAGGGTGGTGCTTGAATTTCCCATATTTCAAAGGGAATAAAGAACTAATTGCTTTAAATGACCACATCTCCCCCTCAGTGTATTGCATAAGAAGAGAAAATATAATCAGCACCAGCAGCTCAGTCAATGTATTTCCCCAAATTTTAATGACTTTTCTGTGAATGGATACTTAATAAAATGTCAGATAAATTTCCTGCTCTCCTATCAAGCTACGTGACTAAGACTTCTCATGTGCTCCTTCTAACTGTAAGAAGGAGGCCTGGGCTCCCCTTCTTCACTGAGCCCCAGTCCCTCTGCACTTTCTGTTCTTTGGAGCTCACTGGTGTCTCCAGTAAAACATCAGGGAACATGACATTTCAATTTGATAAATGATAATTCAGGTAAAACAGAGATCACGACAACTCCAAAAGAGCTGCTTGCTAAGTTGAGGAACTTTTGACACTGTTTGCATGCAGAATCAACTTCTTCCTGACTCACATTGCTTTTACATGTTTGTTAGCTCACAGTTTCATATCTGTCACCATATAACTTGAGCTCCTTTATATAAGCAGCCCAGGATTATAGAGCATGAGAGGGACAAATTTAGGTGCCATCCATGCAAGGTTTGGCTGTAGTCCTGCAATGTGATGTGTGTGGGCATGACCCCTCCTATGCACAACACTGAACTTGCTGCAGTGGGCCTTGGCACAGGTGTGGGGTCCTCCCACATCAGTCACATTGCTGGAGTGGGGTCAGGAAACAAATGGTGTAGCCAAGTCACCTGCCTGTGTGATGGGTGTCCCGTTGATACATCTATAATGTATTTAGTCAGTCAACCAGCAAGCAAATGTTCTACAATTGTGATTTTTGTCCATGCATTATTACTTCAGCAATCTTTCATCTGTATTTTTCCTCTTCCAAAACTGAACACAGTAGTTTTTTCAACCATTCAGTTAACACTTTTCTCTAGGTTACACTATTGTATACACATTGTATAATTACAATATAAGTAACCAGGTAGCTCATTCTCTAAGATTCTCTAAAATTTACATGCTTGATTTTCAAGTTTTGCAGTTCTACAGTACAAAGTAATTTTGCATTTATGATGCAGCTAAAGAAAACTGTTTCCTCCTGTGGTGTTCTATTTTAACATGAGACTTTGGTTTTTGCCAAACACTACTTTGCTTTTTTGGCTTGTTAACTTGTATCTAAATGCTCTCTCTTCACACACACTCTTTTTTCTACACTTTTCTGCAGAGGGCTTAGACTCTCTATAGTATATGAATATACTGTATGGAAAGTATCTAAGCTTAAATCTTTACTTCAGTTGACACTTTAACAACCACTCCACTTGATTTTTAATTTCCTCTAAAGCAGCTGCTCATGGCTATTGGTAATGGCCCTGGCAAACCCCTTACAGGTTAGAAACCCTTCACTGTCTTTGCTACAGTTTAGGTAATGAAAGTTATTTAGCATTTATTTCTGCATGATTAGAACATTTCCATTTGTTAGTTTTGCAACAAACCATTGTTTTACATTTTGTACTGAAGAAGGCAGGCTAAGGCACTTCAAGAATCCCACTGTGTGTCTGTCTTGTCCTTCAGGCTTCTAAATCTCATCTTTACAGCGAAGGAAAATACAACAGCTACTGACAGGATGAAGCAAGGCCATATCTTACTGAACAGTTGGTCAAGATTAAACCTTCAAAAAGTTTTTGTATATTTAGATACAATTTAAATGAGACAACAAAATAAAGACCCTGAAGAAGTTTGTACAAGCATGAAACAAATGGTGTAAAAATGGAAATCCTATTACTTTTTATTCAGAAGTAATGAGCGTGAATACAATTTATGAAAAGAAACTGTGATAAGGGAAAGAGGAAGGCCAGTGAAAAAAGTAGAGAGCCATTTTGCTTGAAGAAGCAAGCATAAAGGAAGGACAGGGCATTATTTTAAAGAATAAAACCCAGAGACAAATACATATTGCATTTGATGGAAAACAAGCAAGAAGAGAAGCTAGAAAAGACAAGCTAAGCTTTCATAGCTTCTAACCCTCTTCCTGGGTGCTCAGTGCTCCCTAGGTAACAGCAATAACCAGGCAACAACAGCAGTAGCTCTTTGTATCTAGAGGCTTTGGCATCCTTTGGAAATCACTCATCAAAATCAGCTGGGGACCAACAAGTGAATCAGGTTTAGAGCTTAGTTCAGATAAACAGAGTGATAAAACAGAGTGCCCAAATATTAAAAATTCTTAAGAAAATATACAACTGAAGATATCAGCTAGGAAGTTGATGGTGAGAGATCCAGAATGCCAAAGAAAAGGCAGGAATGTTAACAGTTTGTAGATTGTGTAAGAAACTCTACAAAAAGGTAGCAGGAGGGCAGAAATGCAACCACAGACAGGACTGAGGAGGATCCATTTAAATTAAAATGGTGCAGAAAAATAGCAGCATAGTTACAAGCTGAGGGATGAATTAAGACAGTGAGGTGGGAGGTTATGTGCCTGATGGGATATTGTGTGTACGCTAAAGATAGTAGCTTTAGGAGTGGAAAACCTTGAGTGGATATGGGGGTGTGAGGTGACAGCCACACAGAAAGAAGGCAGGAGTAGTGGTAAGTATTGAAGGGAAATAAGGTTTTAATGCTGCTCCAACCATTCTGTGCCAGAGATGAACAAACAGCATAAATAATGAAGCTACAACTTTCAAAATAACTTTAACAACCAAAGCAAAAGCTTGATAAGTAATAGATTCTTTTATCAAACAGTTGTTATTGATAGTGGTCAGTGTCAAGGGCATCAATAGCTCTAACTGCCCTGACCAGCCCCACCTGGGACCCAACCACACCCCCTCAGCTCCTTGCTCCAGGAACTCCATTTAAGCTCAGGGCTGAGCACATTCATTTCTCATAAATCATAGGTGAATTAATCTTCAGCTCTGTCTTCAGCCTTATCTCTAGGATGCCTCTTATTTCTATGTTGTAGGTGTGTTTCTGGTTTTTCTGCTGCTTCTGGATGGATCCTGCTACTAGTGCTTGGCTCTGCTGGCCCTGCTCAGGTACTCTATGACTGTGTCACTAAGTGTTAGGGCCACCCTTGTCTCCTTTTGTAGCAGCAGTAGTGCTGTTCCCTGATGTTTGGCTGCAATGTAGTAGGTTCTTGGTGTTTTCAAATAATGATATTCTTAAATATATCCTTTTTTTATGTTATGATTAAAAACAGAGTAGTGGGAAAACTTTTCCTGCACTTGGAGCAAGTACTGGCAGGATTTCTTAAAGGGTTACTGCTCAGAGTAGAGGCAGATGACCTAGTGGTCATATTGGCCCTATTAACAATAGAGTTTTCCCCAATTTCAAGAAACTTGCCAAATAAAGCACCTTTCTAAGCAGCCTTCAGAATAAAGAAGCCCTTCTGTGAAAGCTTAAGTTGTAGTAATAGTTGTTCCTAGGTAACACTGTGCTGGTAGTAGAAGCCAATCTGTATGAGCACAAAACAATGACTTCTGAAGGAGACGAACAAAAGTTGGCTAGCACATTCATGAATTAATAAGGATATGTAGTGATCAGAAAAGTGAAATTAGGATGGTGAAATAGGAGATGAATCTTAAAAAGGGGATTGCTGTGAGCATACCACAGGCCAGAACAAACTGGCACCATAATGATCATCACAAATTCATTCACTGCAGCCATGAATGTCTCACTCAGGTATTTATCATGACTGTTGCTGCTTTGTTTTAGTAATAAAAAGGGTCACCTGTATTTACTCGTAGCAAACTGAATCCAACATGTGGTTATAGCAAAGCTGGCAGCAGTCTGAAAGACTATTTCATCTTCAGATGATTTACAGATCTTATGGCATTACGTTTTTTTGTTCACCCTCAAGTTCATTCTAAAGGTTTGTTGCAGGAAATTTTCTTAGTCATTTGCATTCCTCTGCAGTATAATCAAAGAATATATCTTATGCCTTGACAGAGGTAGGTGTTCAGCATTTGTTACAATTGCCTGTAGCTTTAGGATGTGTAACCAGCCAATTCTTCTTAGCTGCCCCCCCCCCCCCCCCCCCCCCCCGAGTAACCAGCTGAAAATGGGGTAAACCTCATTGATTTCACAGAGAGTGTCTACATTTCTTGATAGACAGGCTGAGAGAGCTGGGCTGGTTCAGCCTGGAGAAGAGAAGACTCTTTAAGGGGAGACCTTAGAGCAGCTTCAGTGCCTAAAGGGGCTGCAGGAAGGGGTCCCTGCCTGTGGCAGGGGTTGGAACTGGGTGAGCTTTAAGCTCCCTTCCAACACAAACCATTTAGTGACAGTATATGATAAAGCTCTCTTGTTACTTGGGGTATTTGAATATTGTTTGATAACTAATACTGATTACTTTGACTGTAAAGTATTAGATGTTTCATGGGATCATCTTCTGGAGTTCTTCAGGCTCTGTATGGTGAAAATAATGAAAAACTCGGATTTGTGTAGGGAGAGTGGCAAAAGGTTCTTATGGCAAACAAAGGCAAAAATCTTAAACAGACTTGTCAGAAAAAAGGACAATAACAATAGGAAGACAGAAGATGAGAGTATCTCTGAGCCTGGAAGCTCTCAAAGACAGGCACAGGAATGGGTCCCCATGCTGAGAACAAGCCAGTGCAGAAAGGAGGAGACCTGAGTGACATTGAGAACTCAACTTGAAACGTCAAAGATTCTCTTGCTAAAACAAAGGCTGACATTGCCAGTACTGGAATCTGCACATAGGACAGTGTAATCATACCAGAACAAGTTCTGGTTTAAAGGCTTGTGTTACAATGCTTTGTACTGTAAATAGGCTCTATTGTACGTTTACTTTTTACCTGTCTTGCTCTTCACTGCTGATAGATGGCAGCAAATGACAGAGGACTTTCCGTCTCTGCTGTATTCCGCTCCTCTTTCTGTAGAATCCTCCTCCTCAAAAACAAAATGGTGCTGATGCACCACTAGCAAAATATATAATCCCTGCCAAGGCAAAGGTTGTGCAGTTAAAGCAAACGATGAAACTTTGTCCATTCTCTTCCTGTTCCCTGTGGTACTGGAAGTCTTCTGAGTAGTTTTGTTCTGTACTGGCTTGAATGTTGTTTCCCTCGTTAACTGATGTGCTCAGGAAAACAATTTCATGTTTTGCTATCTATTAACAGCCCTCTTGTTTTGAGTTCCAAGCAGATAAGCAACCCTTAAGTTAACCAAAGGGTTATGCTGCATTACTGCTAGGACATGAAGTGGTGTGTGGGAGGGAATTGCCTAATGGAGACAGCAAATGACTTTTAGTGTAAAGTCACAGTTCACCTGCTGTTGTGTTGGTAAGGGCAGGCTGAGCTCATCCTCTGAAGTTGATTATAAGTTGTAGGATTCTGCCTGAAAACACTTCAATGTTTCAGGAAAGGCAAACGAGGGGGGATTAAACTGCAAGCAGACAGAAAACGTAAAGATCTCTGTGGTGGTTGGTTGGAGACTCAGCCCATTGAACAACCAATTTCTGCTCTCTTTTTTTTGCACATGTAGCATCTACGCAAAAGAAATTACATGTCAATGCTTCTGGGAAGGCTTGCTAATGAAAACAGGAGCACTAATAGGTACCACTGAAGGTTTGCTGAACAGCTTGCAGGAGGTGAGCTTGCATCTCGCCTCATGCTGTGCCAGATGAGGAGCCCAGCCTCTCGCTGGCCCTGCTTTTCCTGTACGTTTTAGCTTTCAACTGCTTAACTTTCCGCTTTATCAGTCAAAATTACCTCAGTTCAGCCACGTATGTGAAATATTTCGTGTTTTAATAATCCCTGTATATCCCTGGCTGGTTACCTGATGCCTGAGATGGGGAAGCCCAGCTGGGCGCAGACGCCTACTGCTGCGGCCCTCAACGAGGAGGCAGCCTCGTCCGAACCCTTCCTCTCTTGACGCTGTTCTGACCTCAAATACAAGAGGTACACCGCCTTCACGGCCTTACAGGGCCCGCTGCTCCTCGGGACACGCCGCCCTTGCCTGCTCTCCCCTCAGCGCTGCGGGGCCGCGTCCCTCACAGACCGCCCCGGTGTGTTTGTGTGTGGGGTTCATGCCCCCCCCCCACACCGCCCCCTTAGGCGTGAGGCGGCCGCGAACGCGGGAAGCTTGAGCCTTGCGCGCTCCCGTCCGGGTGCCGTCGCTCGGCCGCGGTCCGGAGCGCAGCGAGCAGCGGCTGTTCCCGGCGGCAGCGGCTGCCATGTCCGCCGTGGCCAAGGCCTCCGGCGCGCTCAAGTCGGTGGATTACGAAGTGTTCGGGCGAGTGCAAGGTGAAGAGACGGGGACGGGGCAATGGGCGGGCGGTGAGCGGCGCCGGGAGCCGCGCATGCGCCGAGGCGGCGGTGGAATGAGGGGTGAATGTGTCCCCAGTGTGAGGTTCCCCGGTTCCATGCAGAGCACAGGCCGGTCTGCCCAAAGCACCTTCTGTCAGCGCGGTTGTGTGGGAATGCCGCCGCCTCCCGGCTTAGGCACCAAAACTTAGGTGAAAATGAAGTCAAAGGCGATTTCTTTAACGTCTTCGTTAAAGCTGCATGTGCTGTCTGCGCTAATGGAAGTAGTCGTTCGCCGAGGGGGGGAGGCTCAAGGCCAGCTTGTACCCAAGCTCCATAGACTTTGCCCAATGTTAAAATTCAGTAACTCCTCCTTAAAACTTCTGTGAGAAATGACCGCAGGTGACTTAGATGTACAATAAGATACATACATATGAAGCGAAATTCCCGAAAGTGGCATTCCTTCAAACTGTTTTACTGTGTTTTTCCTTCCTTTCCAGGTGTTTGTTTCAGGATGGTAAGGCAATGTCTGATTTACCAGCTCTACTTTACAGTATAGTATTTCCAGTGCTAAAAATACAGCAGCAGGTCGGTAGAGTGTAAATATATCCAAGCTGAACTCTTGAGTTCCAGGTCAGAAGGCTGAGTAGTGCAAGTGGGTTTAAAGGGGGAAAAATACGTTTGTTTTCTATTACTGTTACATTAAAATGGATTTTTAAAAGGTTTAAACGTGTTGCTTGTTTGTACAGTATCTAAAGGTTGTGTTTGGGTTTCTTGTGACAGTGCGGCCACAAGGATGTTATAACAAGTTAATCTTTGGAAAGGTTAAGCCTGAAATTTTTGATGCTGGCTTCTGAAAGAATGTGTTCCAATTTAATCTTTTTAAATTGCAATTATCATTCTTGTATTTAAGAAACTCATTGTGTTTCCTGGTAATGGTGTACTACAAGCACGCAGTCTGTGGCTCGTATTCCAGCTGAATATCTCCTCCAGCTCTGAATGTGCAGCAGGTAGTTTTGAATTTCACAGTAACCTAAGAAACAAGAAGGCACATTTCCAATAGGAACAGCTTGTTATCTGGGAATAGTGGACTACACTTAATGTAAGACCTAAAAGTTGCTTTTGGACAAGTTAGCATGGACAAACTGCTCATAATCCTCTTGAAAAATGCTCTTCATAATTAGTAATGCCTTTTCATTGGCTAAATTACCCTGAAATTTGTTTTGCCTTTTCAAATGTAATCATATTAACCTGAAGCTTGGCTGTTGGCATTAGAACTGGTGTCTAAACAGGCTGATAATGCACATCTGGTATCTGTGTGCTGTTTTGGGTATTGCCACAAAAAAACTCAGCCCACACCTCAAAAACCAATGTACTTGGAAGTTCCTGCTTTTATCACAAGAAGTGAATAGCTGAGCAAATGATTCTAATCTGTTGTGGTATTGCAAAAATACTAGAAAACCAATATAATGACCTTATTTTTCTTAGTAGTGCAGCAGCTGGGGCAGAATTTTAAAGGGGAAAAGATTTAAAATAAAACTGGAGAAAAACTGAGGTTTATTCATGTAGCCAATTTAATGAGTTTAGACACTGTAATTGTTGAAGAGGAAAATGAGCAGTGATAGGAACTAAAGAAAGGAATAGAGTAGGTACAAGGTAGTAGTGTGCTATTAGTAGAGTTCTTTGTGATCAAAACTGTTGAAAGTTTCTAAATAAGGGAGCAAGACTTCAGCCTCTGTAAAGAAAGAAAGCCTCACACCATCAGGAGGTTTGTATGCATGTACCTGTGATAGAGGAAGATGACTTTTGTGAGCAGTGTGATGTCTTGGTGGGAGCCATCATGTGTATATTTCTTTTTTTGAATAGAAGTATTTAAAGCTGTGAAAATGGAAGTGGGAATTAACTCACATTTCTTATGTATATGTGAAACCTCATTCTTGTTCAAAAGTTGGCTGCTTCTGCCGCAACTTCAGAGCTGACAGGAGCGTCTTAATGCCTCAGTATGATCATCGTGGATTTTTAAGTGTAGGTCTTAAAGCTGTGAAAATGAGCTATGAAAGTGGGGGTTTAAGTGATATATGTGTGGTGTATGTGCTGACACTGACTGTCCTCTTTCATTATTTTGTGAATCAGTACACGGAACAGGAAGCGGCGAAGTTAGGAGTGGTTGGCTGGGTTAAAAATACCAGTCAAGGAACTGTAACAGGCCAAGTTCAGGGCCCAGAAGATAAAGTAAATGCAATGTAAGTATTTTTGTGTTTTTTCCTAGTTTCACCATAGTCACATACAGCAGCATTTTTAATACAAAGTGACAAGTAGAGCCATATGTCAGTAGTTTAACAGCACTTTGAATCATCAGTTTTAGTTTTGAAGAGTTAAAGAGATGCGTTCTTTTTTAAGCCGTACAAAATGTCTTTAAGCTTCAAAAATGGTGTGTAGCATCTGCCAGTTTTAATTTCTAAATGTCATGTGGTTTCAGAGTATTCCCCTAATATGCTCTTTTCCTGTGAAAAGAAGAAAAAAAGCTTTTATTGATACAAGTGAGCAAAGACCTCATTTTTAATTCTTCATTACTTCTCTGGTAAGGAACAGAGTGAGAACTTCTTTACTTAAATCAGTTTAAAGGAAACTCTGTTCAAATATGATTTTTTTTTTTTTTTCTGACTTAAAAATATGAATCCAAAATACACACTGCAGCAAGGGTCTGTAGTTTATCACCTGGAAATAAAGTTTGAAATGCTTTGGTGTCTCTGAAAGAATAGTTAATGATTTTGTTTATTGCAAGTTTCCAAAAGCTTAAAGCTATAACTCTATGGAAATGATGCCTGGAAAAATACAAAGCCAAGTTCAGTGGCTTCTGACTATCAATTTTTGCAAGTGTGTATAGGGAGATTGTTTGGAGTCTTTTAAAATTCCTTCAGTGGTTTCTGTCAGCAAAGAATGAGTGATGGTAAAACTTCCCTTTGTCGAGCTTCATTGGGGGGGGGGGGGGGGCAAATTCTGCCAGTTCTGATAAAGGAATTGCTTCAAAACTGAACTTGACTAATGTGAAGTTGGCTTTCTGCAGAGAAAATAGTGTTATGCTTTCTGCTGAAGAGATTTGTATGTGATTATATAATGTGACAGATGCATTTGTAGTAATTTTCTTTGGTTTTGAGCTTAGCATTAGGTTGCTTATCTTGGGTTGCAAAACATTTACAAAGCCAGAGAAATATCAGTTGTTTTCCTAGATCAAGTTTATACTTTCTGGAAGAACTTTAATAGCCTCATCTAAATAGTGTGTGAATTCGGTATCTTGGTGCCATCTCTCTAGTTAATTTAGAACACTGAAGACGAACATGTGAGAAATCTGGATCTGGTTTCTTTTTGTTGGAGTGCTTTGAATATAAAACTTTCTAGTCAGTTGATTTATTGTCATTAAGCAGGTTCAAGTGAAAGCACAGCTTAGCTCCTGGTAGTTCTTGTGTTTGCATGAACTAGGATTGCTGCAGAACAGTGTTATCATCCATCCTTTTCCCTTTCCTGTTTGTGTCAATGGGATTGAATGGAAACTGTGCTTACCCCAACACAAAATCTGTGTGTGTAATAGGGGATCTCACAGAAGAGCTGCAAAGTTAAACGAGACTAGGCTTATGCCCAGAGGTGTGTTGGCGTGCAGACTATCCCAAAAGGAAATAGAAAGGTTTATTTTTCACTGTTACACAATCCAAAGTAGGGTCAACAAGGTGGATTGTGACAAAGTGTTAACACTTTTGATGTACACTGTTTGATATTCAGAGCAAAAAAAAAGTTGGGTTTAGTTGCTGCTGCTTCATTTCATGCTGGAAATCAGTGTTTTCTTTTGATGTGGGAAGAATGTCACAATGTTGAAGTATGATTTTGAAGTATGCCTTGAGATACAGATGATTAAATGGGGGATGCTGAAGTAGAAAACAGGAGAAATGGAGCAAGAAGAGCTCACTTTTCCTTGCTCCCTGTATGTGCTTCAGTACATTGGAAAGGTAGTGAGTTTATTTTGGGCGTTAAATAGGTGAACTTCCACGTGAAAAGGGAGCTGTTGTGTCTGAACAGCTACTTTGAAGGCCCTTACTTCTCTCTGCTAGTACATGTTAGGAGGAGGTCAAAACAGCGTTGAATTTTTGAAGTTTATTCCAGAGCTTGCAGCGTTGTTTTTGTAATGCTCAGTCATGCTTCCCAGGAATTCATAATGTTATTTAAAATGCTATATTAAATACAAAATGAGGCTTGCTTCTGCTGTGGCAAATGAATATAGACTAGTAATCCTAAACATACATTTCTGTTCAAACTGTGATAAAGAATCAGGAGGAAATTCTGGCAGCAACTTCTGTACAAGCTCTGGTTTGGATTTGTTGGGTAGTCAGAACTGAAGAGACAGTGTATGTGACTCTTCTTAACAAATCAGAGATTGTGTGTTCAAAGAAGTGGAACACTTTTCAGGGAAATACAGCCCATGGATCAATATTGCAGAGTATTTCAAGCAAGGGCCCTGGTGAGAGCTATTTCAAATAGGGGAATTAATGTGTTACCTTGTAGAAATCTCTCAAGAACAGTTTGTGCAGTGTCCTTTGGATACGTGTTTTCACACTTGCCTCAGTTTCTAAACTAAACTTCAGGCCCAAAAATGGGCTGTTCTTCAGAGGTGTAGCGCTTGGGCTTTTAAAAATCACTTACTAATGGTAATAGAATGATTTACCAGTTGTTTCACTGTTTCTGGCTTGTTAA